TTTTCCCCTAACCTGGGAAATGCATGGTTATATTCCACATGTAAAAAATGGAGAGGTTATTCAAGGTCACTGGACAGATTTTGAACTAGCCAGGAGTCCAAAGAGTTTCGTGAATGGAAGTTTGTCATTTATTTACTGCACCGAGGTGAAGAGGACCAGTCAAGAGGAACAGCTTCCCCGGGTATTAGCGGCCAGTGAACCATAGCAAATCACTAATTCCTCTGGGCCTTACTGTCCTCATCTGCAAGATGGGATAATGGTACTACATAATTTATATGTAGTGTAAGTAATGAATCAGTAAATGAGCTACTGTATTAACCATGTTTAACACTGTGCCAGAACATAGTTAAGCACAAATAAATGTGACTTGTTCATGTGGTCACTATTATTTAATTTTTTATGTCGGTAACATTGGTTTACATCACTTAGCCTTTGGAAATATAGGATCTCCCCTTCAGGTGCTGTGACCAGAACAGAGTCCCACATAGCAGTCCATTGTGCCCCTCCCCACTTTGCTCTCACTGCACCCCCCCACCCCTAGAGTAATCACAGCTTAGGCAGGAGCAGAGGCTGTTCCAGTGCACGCAGCGACCCCTCATCCTGCTGCAACACACCATCCTCTTTTATCTCCCTTTGCACATACATTCTTTTCTTTCTTTCTCAGCTATAGTTTTCCTTCCTGCTTTCTCATCACATGAGCCATGCTTTGAAGGTGAACTTAACATCCTCCACACATGCTTGTCTTTAGTGTGCATGTTTCTGCATCAAGCGGATAGGTTTGAGGGGCTCCAGTGGTGAAGCTAATTCAGTAGTTTTCCTTTGGGTGTTTTAGCAGAGCTCTGCCACCGTACTTCGCATTTACACCTTGCTATTACGCTTTCATAGCGCGCTCTTTTATACGTGACGTATAAATAGTCGTCTACTGTCCTCCCCTGCAAACGTCATGGTATCTCTCTCTCCCCGTTTGGTACAGTACATTTTGTTTCTGTATATGACTTTTTTTTTTTTGAATCCACATCTCCGTAGTATTTTTTAAATAAATGTTTACAACGTCAAAAAAAAAAAAAAAAAGGAACCAACTGGGCTGGGTGGGGCGTATTCAGCTGAGCATCCAGGTGATGCCTTTCACTGCTGAATTAATTCCCTGGATAAAGTGCCCTTTCTGACAACAGGCTAAACAGGTTCATCTGGAGATTTGGCTCCCTGGTGTACAAAGCCTTCACACCCGTGGTGCTTGCCTTCATCCACCCCATGCTCCCAGCCCCTGTCAGTCCTGGGGCCGACTCTGTGAGCTCATCACACTTTCACACCCACTGGGAATCTGAAACCCAGACACCAGTTTCCTGCAGAGAGGGCCCTTCGTCAGTCTCCGGGCTCAACTCGTGAAGTGAATGGACAGGTGGCAAGCCTGGTATCCAGAGCCCCAGGGTACCCAGAGCCCCAGGGTACCTAGAACCCCAGGGCAGCGGGGCTGAGTGGCATCTCTTCCTTAAGATGTTCATTCTCAGAAACATTTCTTTTATGGTCGCTCCTGTTTTTAAAGCAGTTCCACACCTCGGGAAGCTCTGCTATGCTCCCTCACCTGAAGAGATCATTTTTCCACTGACTTATCAAATGGTCTTTTTATAGTGATTTTTTTTGTTTGAATTTTTCTAAGAAGGTTTAGTTTTAACCTTTTTTAAAAGCCCCTGCAGGTTAGCACTGCATCATTGTGTCTGTAATGAAAACATCCAGTAATCTTGACTCTGCCTCCCCCTCTCCAATCTTATTTAAATTAAGTGGACAACTTTGTACTGAATGAACCCCTGAAAGTAACCCATTTGCTGTCACATGAACTTGGCTGGTGTTCTTCTTTTTTTTTTTTCCTGCTGCTCTGTGTGAATCAGAGTCCAGGAAACAGAAATAGTGTGACTTTGTCCTTGGAGATAAAGTACCCATTTTCCTGGAGTGTCGGAAGTTCTGGTCACCCACAAACATACAGCCAAGTAATTTTCAACAAATACACTGAACAATTCAAAGGAGGAAATGAAAGTCTTTCCAGCAATTGCTAGATTTCTCCATGAGGAAGGAGAATGAACCCTACTTCATATACACAAAAATCAATTTGAGTTAGGTTACTAGATCAAAATGGATAAATTTCAAACATTGCTAAGATATGGGCTAGGCAAAAGGTTCTTAGTTGACAGAACTAGTATAATCATGAAAGGAGCTGATACACCGAACTTTATCAAAATTAAAAAACTTCTGCTCTTTGAAAGATAATGTTAAGGAGGTTCACTGCAGTCACAGATTGAAAGAACATATTCATACCCAGTTGGCAAAAAAACTGTATAAAAGTACATATGGAACTCCTAAAATTCAATAAATAAAAGGACAAATAAGTAAATTAAAAACAAAAGACTAATAAACACATGATCAATGGTTAACATCATTCATAACTAGTAAAACTCAAAAGAAAAGCTGAGATGCTACTCTCTAGCTCCTAGAATGGCTAACATTAAAAAATCAACATCACACCAAATGTCAGCTGGAATCCAGAGCAACCAGACCTCTCAATGGATGCTGGAAATGTAGGGTAGTTTCCCTATCACAGAAAACCATTTGGCAGTTTGTTGTCAAGTAAAACATACACTTAACTTATGATAAGATCATTCCACACCTGTTTATCCAGAAGAAATGAAAACATGTTCACAAAGTTACTTGTCAATGTATCCATTTATTTATTTGACATCATTGTTCTTCTTGGTAATATGCTTGCTTGTATGCTTTCTCCTTTCAGGTGTATTCCCTGTAAAATTCCCACCATCCATTCACCTAATTTCTTCATGTCTGCACATTTCACTCCTTTTCTGAACTCTTTTTTCCTGTGTCCAATCTTGACTTTTACATATATCAATGCCATCGGCCCTTAGCATCCTGATTGGAGGAGTCTTGCTGTTTTCTTCTCTAGAAAAATCTCTTTATGCTCCAGACCTCTTTGGTACTCTTCCGCACTTTTCTTAGGACATCACTTTCAACATTATGTTATAGTTACATATGGCTTATCCCCTGCTAGTCTGTATGTTCTCATCCAACACCGTGTATTTCTGATTTATGTCTACACCTCGCTTAAAGATTTATACAGAATTGTTGTAAACTAGTGCTTTCTAACCTGGCTGACAGGCTCCTTGGGGATCCCAGTGTGAGGGTTACAGGTGTATGGCAGACAAACTGCCACTCACACTCCAAAAGGATGGTTCTGTTCTTTTGTGAAAGTATAATAAAGTGATTTGGTAATTCACAAAGGACCACTGGATCCACAACTAGCTCAGTCACCCTCTCTGGAACTCCTCTCCAGTCCCCAATTACAGGTACCAAGTCATCTATCCATTTTTATTCTTTTAAGTCTGTAACATAACATTTGCATATATGCCAGACCCTAAACCTTCTTGCAGTTAGAATTATGTCTTAACCATCTTTTTCTCTCTAGTCCCGGCAGAGTCCCTGGCACACAGTGGAGCTCACTAAATGTAAGTTGTACTGTGTATACAGCTGATGTTTTTGGAATCTGGCTGACCTGTGAAACAACTGCCACACTTCCACTGTTCCCCAGACTCAGCAGGCAGAGGAGAAATGAAGGGGTCACTTGACTATGGAGGGGCCCTTTGGGGGGAAACTGAAGCCTGCTTGGGGTACCCCATGTCCATTTGCTGCCTTCACCAACATCTGGTTTCCAGATGCCTCCCTATTGGGGTGCTCCATGGAAGCAGAACCCACAGAGACTCTAGCCTATCTCACCCCAAAACAATCTTTACAATGGCCTTTGCTCATTGAAAGAACATTACCTTTTCAGTTATGTCTATTTCTTCTTGCAGCACCTTGCCCTGATCTTGGCAAGGAGATGTGGTGAGGGAGAGCAAGACCTTGCCTACCTATGGCAGTTCTCTGGTGTATGCAGGTGCTCCATCCTTGCACCATTTCAAACCCTCCCCACCCCACACACCAGCTACTCAGGACACCCAAAACGCTGAGAGTCACTAGAGCTTTGCCTCCTTGATGTCAAACCGACAGAGCCAGATGCTGCAGCTGCTGCCATGGCTAAAAACGCTGAGACCTTGCTAGAGATACAAAATTATTTCAGTTACCACGCAGACCTCTTACTCGACCCAGGTACAATCACCTGTACTATCTGAGAGTAAACATTCCTAAAATCCCATTCAGGGTTTGTATATGTGTGTGTCCTGCCCTCATTTATTTCAGGCAAATGTGTATGGGATGAATTCTCCCTGGATAGCGTGGGAAACAGCTCACAAAGGCGCTGGCCTCTCCACTTTTTTTTGCATCTTAGTAGAACTTATAGCTAGTAGAACTTACAGCAAGTCGCTATTTTTTTGGTTGATTGAGGGTTACTAACCATGTCTGGAGCCAGGAGAAATAATTAGAAGAATGTTTACCTTCAGTTTGAGATAAACCAGTCATTCTCCAAGCTCATTGGAACTTTAAGACCTTTTGAAACCTTCAGGTCAACCCAGAGGTCTGATTTAATTGATGTAGCCTGAGCACCTGGATTTTTGGACTCCCTTGGTTGTCCCCAAGTGAAAATTGCTGAGATAAATTCCTCATTCCTCTTTTCACCTTGGAAACACTGGACTTCTCTGCCCAGGTTGGTAGCCCAGGTGATCACAAACCTAAGTCACTTCACTGCCCGCTAGCGACTTAAGGGCCTAGAAAATCGGCGCGCGCGACAACGTTAAACACGCGGCGGTAGGGTGGACGGGGAGGGCGGGGCATGTGGGCGTTGCCGCCTGTGGCCCCGCCCCCGCACGCCTATCGCTGCGCGGTGCGGGCTCTGACGTCACTCTTGTCAGAGCAGCGGCACATGGGCCGCCGGATGCGCTGAGCCCAGCGCTGCGGGGCCGCCGAGCGCGGGGGAGCAGCGGCTGCCGGCGCGCGGGGAGGGGGGTGGGGTGGGACGGTGCTTGGCCTCGGGAGCTTGCGCTGTGGGGCCGGGGCGACTCGGTGCCTTCCTCCCCTCTGCAGCCTTTTGCATGTATTTTTCTTTCTGTTTTGTAATTTTGAACATTTTGCAAGACGAGGGGTTCCAGACAGGTGAGAACATCCTGCACGTCTCGAGGAGCCCGCGGGCACTTGGCGCGCTCTCTGGGGACTGTCTTCACTGGCAACCCGAAAGTTTTTTGGCTTTTATTTTTATGCAGATGTATTTATAAAGAAATAAGTAATTTTTTTTCTTTCCTTGTCTCCACCGCCTTGCAAGCGAGCACTTTTGGCAAAGGACGGAGAAAAGAGCTCAGCAACATTTTGGGGGACTGTTGGTTTTTATTGTTTTAAGAAAAACAAATTGAGTGCATCGCGATGGAGAAAATGTCCCGACCGCTCCCCCTGAATCCTACCTTTATCCCGCCACCCTACGGCGTGCTCAGGTCCTTGCTGGAGAATCCGCTGAAGCTCCCCCTTCATCATGAAGACGGTGAGCCTTGCCGCGGCTGCCCGACGATGGGAAGGGGCCACGCTCCTGGGCAACCCGCACCCCTCCTTGGCTGGGCACCCCCGCCGGCCGCTGGAACATCCACCCCACCTCCCTTCCTGTCCCCGGGCACCCTGGCCCTGCTTTGACGAAATTGAGGAGCTCGCCCAGCACCCCACCTCTTCTCACAAGAGGGGGTCCTCGCCGAGCAGCGTTTAAGATTGTGCCGGGAGCTCAGCCTTCCTGGGTCCCGCTGCTGCGGAGCTAGTGGGAGGCCCAACTTGACAGATGAGGGCTGTTCCCCAGATTGGGGGTAACCCGCACGCCGCGCGAGCGCAGAGCCTGGGCTTGGGAGGAGAAGCCAGAGGCCAGTCCTTGGGGCAAGGAGAGGTCTCACTGGTGTCCTGGGTGCGGGACTCCGTCTTGCCGCAGTTTTTTTTGTTGTTGTTGTTGTTATTAGTATTTGGAACTCAGGAGTGAGAGGAGACGCGTGTTCTCCCGCAAAGGGTAATTCAGAAAGCGGGGTGGGGGCTGGGGCCGGCGGGGGGAGTGGTCTCCCGGCGGGAAGCGGTGCACGCCTCCAGAGCTGCCACTTTCCCGGTGCACTTTTCCTGGTGGGAGGGGAGAGCGGAGTAGGCTCACGTGTAACTGCGCCGGAGCCGCCTCTGGCTAGAGCCCTTTCTCGGTAAGTCCCGAACCTTCCCCAGGCAACCTCGGCTGTAGCGGGAGGGGCGGGGTGGTGCAAGGACGTGCTGAACCCGGCTAGTGTCGCCAGGAATTTGTCATTTTGGCTGATGTGGTTTCATGCCTTGGATATCGCAATAGCGAACCGTGAGGCTCAGAGTGTAAAGTCTTGAAAGATCAGGCGGCTCCAAATAGCTTGGGAGTACTCGCACGGCTTTCCTAGCAGGGGACTGACTACCTGTTGCATTGCAAGAGTGGAGGTGCCTGTTTCGCAGCCTGCACAGCAGAGCTTCCCTCTTGACTCCTTCAAGGAGGAGCGCTCCAGGGAGCAAGGTGCTGCCCGCAGCCTTTTGCATTCTGTGGGTGTGTTAAGTCGGGTTCACAGCAGAGACAGTATAGGATAAGAAAGGATGAGGTGGAGGCTGTGTGTCTTCAAGTCGAAAACTCAGAAGCCACATCTCTAATTCCAGATTCCACAGTCGCTGAGTACTAGACTTGGCAAAAGCCATACACTGGTGAAGACCTAATGGGTAGAAAATAGCTGTGCACCTCTGTCCTATGTAGCTCCTATGTAGCATGACCACCTTGTCCATGCCTTGCATACATGTATCACTTTTGTGAATTGGATCATATTTACATGTTTGGGAAAGAGGAAGGAGGAAACATCTTGTATTACTTTTTTTTTTTTAAGTTCTCTTTGGAAAATGCAATGTCCTCCAGTGGCTTAGGACGTTGATGATTTTACTTCTCTGTCAATGTGAGGCATCCTTCAAGTCTCAGAATCTCCACTACTTCATGGTCAGTGGGATAATAGCTGTTTGCAAGTTTAGGCTGAGACTTTGGAGGTAATATGGGACTGAGAGGTTGCTGAGTACGTGACATGAAGACAGGATAGAGAGTCTCTGCTTGATCAAAATCAGAATTTTAGCCTGAATGCACTCAAGTTGTTACTTTCATGAATTTCCTAGAAGAGAAATCCTGCCTGGCTATTGGTTTTTCTCTTAAAAAGTCACAAGTGTCGCACACGCACTCAGGTGCCATGCCCCCCTGTCGACTCAAGCGGTCTCCTCAAATCAGCCACTGATGACCTCGTTCTCTTGTTTATATCCTAGATCAGTCTGCAGCCCTGTCCCAAGGACTAATGCTTTCTTTCCAAAGTAAATAGGAGGATGTTGAAAACAGGCAGAGATCCACGTCCTGCCTGAACTTTTAACTCTAGATCCACAAAAGCCAGCAGCCAGAGAATCCTGGTGTTTTTGAGTAGTCACTTTGTAGCAGAGGCCAGGAGGGGTGATCATAAAGTGACACTTTTTTCCTTTTTAAGATCCAACTTTCCCCTTTTTCTGCAGCATTTTGTAAAGACAAAGACAAGGAAAAGAAGCTGGATGATGAGAGCAATAGCCCGCCCGTCCCCCAGTCGGCATTCTTGGGACCCACCTTATGGGACAAAACCCTTCCCTATGACGGAGACACTTTCCAGTTGGAATACATGGACCTGGAGGAGTTTTTGTCGGAAAACGGCATCCCCCCCAGCCCATCTCAGCATGACCACAGCCCGCACCCGCCTGGGCTGCAGCCAGCGTCCTCCGCTGCCCCCTCCGTCATGGACCTCAGCAGTCGGGCCTCTGCACCCATTCACCCCGGCATCCCATCCCAGAACTGTATGCAGAACCCCATCAGACCAGGTAACCACTAGGAGGTTCTCCCTGGGGGGAGTGGGGGGCAGGGCGAAGGGGAGGGGCCTGTGGGGTGGCAGAAAAAGCAATGGGGGGGGACTCTGGCACACCCCACAGGAGGAGTGTTGTGTTTCACCCACAGCGGTGGCAGCACCATCAGTGAGTGTCTTTGTCACTCAGACCTATGGGCCCGCCCCTGGAAATCCTGATTTTTCAGGTCTGCAGTGAGGACTCAGGGGCATGCATGTTTAACCAGCTGTCTGGGAAGATTCTGATGCTGCAGATCCAAGGATTACAGTTTAAAAAATACCAACCTGCAGTTAATGATTGAGTAATTTAGCAACCATCTCATGTGTTTCTTTTCTTCATTCCCCAAATACATAGAAAATAGGATCTTGTTGAATGATTTGAGTAAATTCTATGAGGCTGTGGTTTACCTACATCTGTTCTCTCGCCTGAAGGGAAAAAAAAAAACCAACAAAAACCTGTGACTTAGGGCCTTAGGGCCATAGGACCAGGATAAAGCTTTTCATCCTGTGTCACTGACTGAGAAATTGAATCTAAAAACAGTTGTCATTTTAAGCATGGTTTAGCCTCCTTCAGCAACCCCCACCACCTTGTCCATCACTATTGCTATAAACCAAGCTGCTGTGACTTTTACTTTTATCAAAGCCTGCAGGACCACAAAGTGGACTGTAAATGGTGTTGAAATAGATCACAGAAGCATCATCTGAATGTCCAGAGCTGCTAAATGCGCAGCTATAAGCACAGGTTGAGGCAGCTCTGGCTTCACGCCGCTAGCACCCTGAAGTACAAACCAACGGGGAAGAAGGCCATTTCGTGTGCACAGGTGACCAGGAACAAAGATCCAGTCAGATAAACCACCAGGAAGTTCACTGAGCTCAGGATCTTGACCACAAGGGCGGACAGAAGGTAGGACAATGGGGGATTATGCTAGCACATTCCTGAGCCCAAGCCCTCAGTTGGTGTGGAGTTCCCTGACAGAGTGAGATTAGCATGGAAGGAAATGATGCAGAGGAAGAAGGGAACACTCCTGCCTTGAAGTGTCAGTGTTGGAGTTCAAGTCCTCCTCTTCAGGTATCTATGAGGGATAATTCAATCCCACTGTGAGGGATAATTCAAGGCTACTGGCTAGAATGGACTTAAGTCTTAACACCTTGACTCCAGGAGGCTGCCCAGACTTGGGATACACTCCTTGATGTGTGCTTGAGCTGCGGTTCCTTGAGGTGCAGTACCATTGTCTTCAGTTTTTCATAGGAACCACTGGCAGCAAAAGTGGCCAATGAAGGTGGACAAAAATGAGGGAGAAGGACAGTGGTTCTGTGTCCTTTGGCTCTGCATGGTGACATTGCTTTGGAGCTGTGTGAGTTTGAAGGGGAGGTGACCTCTTGGAGCCTCAGTTTCTCTGTGTGTGGAGGAATGTACGTTCTATTTAATTGGCTTGTTGTGCAAATTAGAGATAATATGTATGAAGAGTGAAATGAATCATACCAGGTGGTCTGTTAATGAGAGTGGTTATGGTCACTGTTCTATCTATATCCACTTTTTATCATTTTTATTTCGATCCCTACCATCTGAAGTAGCTTCTTAAAGTAATTAGGTACAACCTGTAATGCCTCCTTCTGGAGGGAACTATCAGGGCTTTTTGATCAAAAGTTACTGCACTGTTCAAAACATGACACTTTTGCTCAGTTGACACGTTTCTCAGTCCTCTGTCAAATAAAGGACATGAGACATTTAGAAATCCTGTATTTCGCCCCCAAGTGTCACGCGGTATTGGGCCCCTACCCCTTCATTTCTGAGGGGAAATTAGGAACTTCCTACTTGTGAAGTTTCCTTAGAAGTCATTTGTCAGAACTCATTAGCATCTGTATTTATCAGTGACTCAGGCACTTGGAAGCCACCATCAGAGTTGCAGGGTGATGAAAAGGATCCTTGAGTTCTGGCGCACACACCTTGGTTATAGAAGAAATGCACCAGGATTAAAGGGAAACAAGAATCTAGAAATAAACTCTTCATTTCAGTGTTTTTTATGATAAGGGTGGAAACACACTTCAAAATAATTTTCTTCTTTGAGCCGAAAATTCAGCGATACTCCTAACAAGAAAGGAAACAAGTTAAGGCTCTTGTTCCCAATACCAAACACAAAAGAAGTAACCCTGTGTTCATAAAGTGTTGATCTTTATAAGGATTACAATATCAAAAAATAAAAACTAGAAGGCAAAACTACTAGGGGTGTGAACCTGATGGGGTAGAGCAAAGTAAATCTGAAAAAGAAGGCAGTTCTTGGATCTTATTCTGTAATCACAGTAGTGACTAGGAGAGAAATACCAAGCGAATCCAAAGAAAAGCAGGTCTTCCAGAGGGGACGAACACCAACGCAGCCTTGAGGAGTGTTTGCTTTCATCTATTCTTTTCCTTGGCAGAGACTTGGCTACATCTCTGTCGTGAGGGCTGTCCTGTGCATGCCACAGTATTTAGAAGCCTCTCTGGCCTCTAGCCCCTAGATACCAGAGTTCCTTCTCCCACTCCAGCTGTGACATCTCCACTCACTTCCAGATGTCCCCTGGGGGACAAAGGCACCCCATTAATAACCACTGATCTACACTTTAAATTTAGGCAGCAAAAACAGCCTCATGCAGGATCCTGTCACTCACATGGGTGCTTTTTTTGCCTCCTGTAGTGTTTTATGGTAAAAAGTATTAAGAAGGTCAGGAGACATTAGGTTGCCAAAAAGAAATAGAATGTTCATAAGAGTGTAGTGATATGCCTCAAATTGGTAAAACTAAGGTATCAGGCTGAATCACGAGATAATTGCAGAGCAATTTTATTGAACATTTGTTTTCTACTGTTTGCTCAGCATGCATCTTTTGGGCTATGCTTCCTCATCCATGCTATGTGTGTGTGGTTGACAGGAAATGAAGGCCTAAGACAAATGTATGTGTCTAGGTCCACCCCAGGTGAATGACAAGGTGAGTGTCTCGTGACTTCACACTATTTATCCTGACCACCCTCCTGCCCCCTTCCCTGCTTTCTGCCACTGTCCTCACTCTAGCTATCTAATCAAAGAATGAATCAATTATGTGAAGAGATAACCATTTAGCTTGAAGAAATAGTGCAGACATCCGACCAAACTTCTGCAGCTATGGGGCAATGGCTAAGCTTCTGGGCTGATGTCTTTCTGAAGGCACAGTGTCAGATGTGCAGGTTTCTTGGTTACCTGAGGGAAGTATCCTGCATGTTCCCAAGCCAGCAGGGGTGGCAGAAGTCATCCCGACCAGCTTTCATGTTTGCACCCCGATGCCATCAGAGTTGGCACCCAGGAGTGCTCCCCTGGAGGTGTGCACTGGGGATTGGAAAAATAAGACTGTTTGCCCTGAGAAGTGAGTGATTGCTTTAAGGACAGCAGTCCCTTAGGGGAAAGTCATCTATAGCAGACAAAGGCAGAGTTATTTTTAAATCATAGGCTTGTAAAACCTGATTTGAAATCATTTCCTCTGGTGGTGGTTCTTTGACTAGCTTTGGGGTGTCCTGCCACTGCTGGGCCCATATTCAGCTGAGAGTTCAGGAGGCTCTGTCCAGTTCTGAGCACAGGCCGGGTGGCGATGCAGGCTAGTTACAGAGTGAAGTGCAAGCCCTCCAAGTGGCATGGCAGAGCGCAGGGGAGGGAGGTCCAGGGAGACCTCAGCCTCAGCCACCAGGTCGACCTTCCTTTGTGACAAGGTTTTGGTGTGGAAGGAGAATGCTGGCTGTGGGACCTGAGTAATGAGTGATGGAGGGGGTCTCTGGGGTGATGGAGGCACTGCTGAGTGTCAGGATTCTCTCGCTTCCCCCAATATCATAAGATGGGGCTCCCCTTGAGGGCAGGCACAGTGATGTCTGCAGGTTGGGGCGCTAGGACCCATGGTTCCTGGGCCTTGGAGCCTGAGCTGATGATCCTGTTCACTCATCAGGATCCAGGTGGTCAGTGAGGGGCGCCAGCGGGCTGTTGGGGAGCCTGCAGACCTCCTGCTTCTGAGGGGAGGTCATCTTCTCCAGCACACCCTGGAGACGACAGGCTGGCTGGCCCTCTTCCTTGGCTTCAGCTTGGTGCTGACATCCCTAGGCCAGCACTTCCCAGCCTTCTGGAAGAAGGGATTTTCATGTCCATGTGGATAATGGGGCAACCTGGTGATTAAAAACATAAGCTCTGGATCCAGTGTCTTGGGTTCCTGTCCTGGACACACATTGCCTGCTGTGCAAATCTGTGTCCATTCACTAACCTCTTTATGCCTCAGTTTATCATAAATAGAATGGGTACCAAAAACAGTCCCCCCCCCTTTTTTTTTCAGAATTAAATAAGGTGATACTACAAAGGATGGCTGAGAGTTTGGCACGTGGTTGTGCAGGGCAGAAAGCTGTGTTAGGTGTCAGTGGCACAAGACTGGGTAAAGAATGGGTTCCCAGCCCCCATTGTCCAAGTAGGGATGCGTTTCATGCAGTCTCCTTTACTCTGAAAAAAATAGGGCAGTCTCTCTCCCCGCACCGCCCCCCCCCAACCCCCCAGCATGGCCCATCCATATTCTGGGAAGCCTGCTTGACTCTTTTCTGCTTCATTCTGGGCTGAGGCAAGTCCCTTCCCTGATGTTAACCCAGCAGATTGCTTCTAGGTTAGCAGCTCCTACTCTGCCAGTGTGGAAACAGCCGCGTACACGCCCAGCCCCCCAGCTCTCGTGTGGGTCCTGGCTGCCTGCCTGCCGCCTGCCCGTGTGCTCAGGCACGTGGCTGGGCCCTGTGGAGCTCGCCCGGCTCTGGGCGGCATGCTGGCTTGCTTCCCCCACCCCACTCCCGTCTCTTCCCCTGCTAACTACAGCGAGTGCCAGCGAGCGCTAGCGAGCAATTGTAATCCTGACCCTGGCATGAGAAAGCTGAGCTCTGGAGGGCAGTTCATGTGCCAGGAAACCTGCTCTGTCCAGTGCTCTAGCCAGACCCCAGCCTCGGCCCTCTCG